TATTTAATACTTAATTATAATTAATTAAAAATTATTTAAAGAGTATATTAAAAAATCCCTAGGTTAAATTTACCTAACTATACGTATCTTAGCTTAGTTTCCCTTATCTAATATAAGGCTAATATAAATTAGCCTTAACTTAACTAATCTAACTTAACCTTTTTAAGGTCTCTTAAACCTTATTTATTTACTTACTTCGGTGCGAATTAGCTAGTCATTACACTATCGTTTTACTTTTCATTTCTTAGTCGCAGCTTCGTTAAGAACTTCTTCAGGTGATGGAGCTTTTCTTTGTAAAAAGCAGCTTGATCTATTGATTGGCTTATGTTGGCCTGAGCGTCATGCTGTATAACACAGTCTCGTCCACCATTCATAGCACGAATCAATACCACCACTAATATCTTTTGCCTTGAAAAACTTTCTTTTTTCCTAACTGATTTGTCTCTGGACTCATCACGCTATTGTGCGTCCCGGAATAAGCAGTCAAGTCCCACGAGGTCCCTTAACACCAACGCTCTCTGCGGCAGTACATACATCCCTCAAGCCGATACAGGACGTATACTGATGGAAGCAGAAGGCCACACGTTTGAGCAATGAGATCCTTACATCGACTCATCGCTGGTTGTCGCGCCTTGTCCTTCGTAAAAAGAAATCCCTCCGATCCCGGTGGCCAACCCAACCGATCAGACCAGGCCAAAACGGCAGATGACTACTGGGCCGAGGCAGATAAGATCCTCAATAGCCTAACGGACATCCTCAAAGAGAGGCCTACAGCCGGCGACCCAAGCAAGCGCGTTGATACTAGCATTGGTTGGATGAAACCCATCTCCCTACTAGCTGTGTGGTGAGGATGAGGCATCGGCAATGCCGGTATACATCACGAAGTTTCCGAAAGCTTCCAGCGTTAATACTCAGTAGAAAAATCTCTAGCTCACTTTTTATCCTTCAACACAGGTACAAGTACTCAACAAACATTATTCATATGAAAGGTATGATGAACCGTTGCATGTGAAAATGCCGAGGTTGGTTCCGTCAGTAGGGTCAACGTCAGCACGGCAGGAATGGAGACCTCCCAGCAGTATCAAGTACAAGCTCTGACAAAGTCGTCATTGCTCAGGAGAAAGACCAAAGGCAAACTAATGCTACCGAGCCTGAACTTTGTCAACTACGAAAACTAGACTCGGACTCAAGAGGAAGAAAAGAGTCAGGAGACTTGGGGCGCGATTTTGTCTCATACCACTGACATTATATCGCCAAATTGAGCCAATGCGCGTGCCCAACAGCTGTGTACATGGAAGAACCAATCCGGAAATAAGGTTCCACTTGACCCTTTTTAGCTACGGGATGAAAGGTCTGGACCATCTTGGCACTGACTTGAAGTTTCTGAGTCGTGGAACGAATGTTTTAAATCAGCTACAGTTCCTCTCTTTTGTGTTACAAAATATTAATATATGGGGCAATAACATACACATGGAGGCTAAACCTCACGCTGATGCTATCAAAGAAAGAGTGCGCGGTGTAATATGCTAGCCATTAACGGTATCATCAGGCCGTGGAGAACTTAGCCAGTCAAAATATAGGAGTCCAGATAATGTACCCTATATGGTATAAAAGCGGGAATAATCGAGCCATGTTACATCGTCGAAACGACATGTCCTTTGCGTCTCCTTCAACGGGGACACACAAACACAACATCTTACCGTCTAGATCGGAGATCCTCATGAATTCTTCCAGCTTTAGAGGACGCAACGATTCAGTCATCGAAAGAGCTCAGGATGAACCCCAACCAGGATACTGTTGCGGCTGCACATCGATGATTAACCGGGTGCCTATAATCTCGAAGGCCGTCATTGTCTGCATTCACTACTTCAACACTCGTGGCCAACTTCGATCTCACAACGCCAGCGGCATAGCTGCCTTTTTGCAACAAGTTTATGGCTGCCCTCCTGAGAACATCATCATACTATCCGACATGTACTTTCGACCGACAAGTCAGCCCACCAAGCGTGCGATTCTACAATCAATACACTGGCTCTTTTCGGGATCCGTACCCGGAGATCGTCTGTTCTTTTACTCCAGCGGTAGGATTTCCCGCCGAGTCAGGGATAAGACGAGATGCTGACAAGCCAGGGCATGGCCAACCAGATAAACCGATATTTCCGGTCGATTTCAAGGAGGCAGGGTGCATAACCGAAGCGGACATTGAGGCTATCATGGCTCGGAAACTGCAGCGGGGGGTCATAACTACTGTCATGACAGACTACTTTGCTAGTGCGCAGTCAGTCGCAAGCTGGTTCGACCACAGGCATCTCGGATATGACGGCGGATGACGGGCAGGCCGATGATCTACACTCCGTCATGGCGACTGTGCTCCACAGTCCATTGTGGAAAGATGATGTTTACAAGGTGGTCACATTCCCGAGTCCCCAGCCTCGATGCTGCGAATAGATAATATCGATATTTGAAGACTGATGATGTTTTTCGGGTTCATTCATATCATATCGCATATAATGCGCTTGGGCCAGGGTCGCTTGGTGATTTGAACTGGCATGTCCGCTTGGTGCCTATGCCCCTCGATTGTGGACAATCTGTACCGGCACCGCATGTAGCAGGAGGCCCACCGTTTAAACAACGATGCCCCCGCTAGGAGGCAAAGCCACAAGGCACGCGAACAAAATGTTCAATCGTCTCTCATTTGAAGCCGAAGATCTATCTCACCGAGTGGCGAGTAAGTTGATGGCTTCAGATCAATCAATCAATCAATCAATCAATCTCTCATGTCAAGATCTGCAAACCGTGGCGTCTAACTATCTGCGCACAGGCCAGATCTACCCAGTGACAGTCATATCGTACGATTTCTCGACCGGATATGCCGGTGGCGGCGGGGATGATGTGGGAAAATCTACTAACATCTCTTGGCAAGTCAGTTAAGATCGAGTCAATTACACTAGCGAGGACATTGGCCAGCTGAACAGGGGTCTCTATGGCGTTTTATCGACCCGTAATTCAGAGACTAACTAGTCTGTAAATGATCTCGCATGGTCATACGATTGACGTGAATGATTGATTTAGTTGCCTCTTATCTCGATAGTGTTAAAACTAAGGCTGAGGAGACTGCGTCATCACCCTTGAATATCACGACGTGCCAACAATTGGTTGCTGTGTTGTAAGTTCACAAGACTAGCGTCGTCATTGGTCATGTGATTGGATCAGACTGAGCAAATAGGCCTAATTTGAAGAAAGCAGTTCCGTAAAGAACGTTTGTACCTCTTAAAAACCCGGCCTTCAAAGGAATGGCACACATACTATTGTGCCCTGTGGTAGCTTATCAAAAACCAAGCTAGCCGTGATGAATTTCATGGCATTTACGGTAGTCTATTTGATGTCTTATCTCAGCTCCCTAGCTCTGGACTATTCGCCCAATATGTACTAGTCGAATGTCGTGTCTGGTAAGCGAGCATCGTCAAAGGAATGCAACATCCTCATTTCTATTTACCAGTTGCTTAATTGTCTATGATTACACTGAATCCATCATGACGCCTTCCGCATAATGCTCGACGGTCACTAGTACCTTTTCCAGACCAATTTACCAGCATCTAAGCCTTCTATGTTGAAATAAGTGTAGCATACCTTGTGATCTTGGGGAGATGAAGCGTTGTCACAGCAGTGAGTGTATGGTGGGGGCTTGGGCTCACAGTAACACCGTGCACTTGCTTACGCCGGTTGTAACACTCAATGCTGCCGGTTTGATCTGCTAGTGATCATTTGGACAGGCGTTTGTTTTGTTATTTCTTTTGCTTCCCTTCGTGCACGAGGTTATGTTCGGAATAGTATTGGCGACACAGAATGAACATCATCGAGTGGGCTTGAGCACTTCAAATCAGCTGTGCAGTCTGGAAAAGGAGCATCACTATTAACATTGGAGGTTCATAGTCCACCGAGGTACATGAACTGAACTTGGGTACATCTTACCGGATTGGAGTCTTTTCTTGATACTTTTGATGTTACGCTCCAAGCGGCGATTGCAGGTGAGGAGACAGACGCATCCGAATAAGGCTATCTCGAGATTCTCAGATGAGAGGTTCGGGTATCATGGCCTAGGATGGCCATAAGCCTGATAATATACGGCGAAGTTCAGTCTTTCACAAGGTTCTTTGTTCTTTTCTCTTTACATTTTGCACGATATAGACCCAAGCGACACGTCTGAATCAAGCCGATAAGTAATGTTGAAGCTTACCAAGCGCGCAGTTCTAAAGCTTAGTCTCAACACTAAGGATCCAGGATTTGTAAGTACCTTAGGTATCGATATCTTCACGTCTTAAGGCATATGTAAATCGCTCAGAGGCGGAATTGGCAATTTTCCAAATCACAAGTAAGTGATATTCCAAGCGACTTGAGCAGGCGATGCGACGTTAGAATCAGCTGTAAAGGGCTCAACACCCTACCGCCAATAGGTTTCTCGGATACGCTGTACCTGATATTAACTATCATACACTGTAGCGCCAACAGAGCGCTATAGCTACCTCTCATTAGCACTGGAGTGAGACCTCACACAAGGAAACTGATTTGAATTAGTGTTAATGACCGTGGCTTAAGGCTGGGGCTTGTGTCACTTGTTAGTGGTGCTGTAAATGACCTCACTCAATTTCAGGCAAGTCTAAGCTCTAATTCAAAGAGGGAGCCTATTGCCAAGCCTGTCTCGCGGGTATCTACGAAGATTTTGGCGGTATCGGCGTGACAAGGGGGGTTGGGCGCCGTTCTCTGGAGGAAACTTAGTCATTCACTTCTATTGCCACGATCACGGTGTATCCAAGGGTTATAACTTCTGGCATCAGGTTTAAGGGACATCTATTAGCTGGAATCTGTCCAAGATGTTATCAATCCAGAAGACATCTATCTCCAACCTTCACAAGCTAGTCTCTCAGTCTACAACTCTAGAACTCCATGCTTACATGTCCAACGTCTACAAGAAATCGTGATCCAGAACTGCCACATAAGACATCATCATATCCAGATCCAGTCGCATCTTTCAAAACCCGATATCCAAGCTTTACTTTCTTCCTCGGCGGCGTTTTGGGACAGGGAGGTTCTCGCCAGTGTTGGTGGGCGCGCGTCGCTTCGACGCCGAACGTGTCGCGACATTCGGGCGGTCCTTGATGTCTTTCCCGACAGAACGGGAGAACGAGGTGTCGTTCTTGGTGGTTTTCTTCTGGGCCTCTTCGTGCTCATCATCGGTAGACAATTTCTCAATGGAGCTGGAGCTAGAAAGCCGGACTTCAATAGAGTCGCTGCCGCTTTCTTCCGCATACTGAATAATCTCTTTGTGAAGCTTCTCCATCTCGTTCACAAAGCCACAGAGTTCGTCATATCGGATTGCGATTGGCAGGTCCTCGACATTGGCGAGAAGGTCCTTCTTAGCGGCTAGGTCGTGCAGGGTGAGGACAAGCTTATGGTCGGAGTTCAGTGGCTGTTGGCAGGCATCGCGAAAAGGCTGGAGACTAATTAGCGGGGATGCTGCTCAATATGTGAGTAGACTTACGACTGCGTCAAGAACTAGCTCAACATCCAACAAGGGTTTAGGTCCATTTGGGTTCGGAGTCCGTCGGGCCTTCTAGACTGAGACGGTCGACTCCTTATTCTTATTGATATCAAAGCCAATGACAACCTTGATCCCGCCTTTTCTTCCCGCGATGTAGTCCTTGGCAAGCTTTTTTAGCTGTTTGGCTTGCTGACTGTGGGCGACTTCGATAACGACGCCAGGGTGCTTCGATTGGAGATGACGGTACTGGAGGTCTGGTGACTTCTTCCTTTTCTTGTCGACCTCTTCACCCGGATTGGAGGCTTGTCCTTGGTTGTTTAGCAGGATGTCTGTAGTCAGCATCGATCTGATGTTTGCGACAAACTTGGCTGTGTCTGTATCGCCAACCTTGAGATGAAAGAACTTTTCGCCTATGGCCGTGTTGAACGATCCCGCGAAACTATCGTGGACCGGAGAGGGCATTTGGATGGTGATCTTGCCCTTGAATGGGTCGTAATCGAATCGACGAAACGTCGCTTCGATTGCCTCACGAGTACTCTTGAAATCTTCCCAGCTAAGTGGGAAAGTCTTGTAAAAATCTTCGTCACGAGGTCCAACTTCAAGTTCACCCAAGACTTCAGCCAGGACTTGCGGGAGAGCAACAGCGGCAGTACGAGCGCGTTGGAGGGAGTCGGGCGGCGAGGGGAGGGGGGTTTCGGTCGGGGAGACCTTGCGCGAGGCCGTTTGGGACTTGTCGAGGGACGGCGCGCGAGAAGGAGAGGAGTTCGGAGATATTTCGACGTGTTCGGCCATGACTGCAGAGGGAGAAAAGAAGAGAGCGGAATGAAAATTGAGAGTGGAGGGGAATTTCTGTTGTTGTTGTTTTTTTGGTGGCATGTTTGTGCTACGTTACCGCGTCATTCACCGCGGGGCAGAGCCTCTTATCTTATCAACGACTTCTCCACTGGCAGACGCGAGATCACGTGTCTTCGCGGATCAGGGCTTGGAGTGGATGGAGGTTATGATGTGATGGGTCAGACGGAGGCGTTGAGAATTGATGGATTGGCTTTGGTGGAAGCGTTTAGACAGGAATCTCTGTTGAAGACAACAAGGCAGCACGATTGAGGCTTGTATGTGAGGGAGCGAAATGAGAAAGCTGTTTGGAGGTAGCTGAACGTTATCATGAGCCGATTCTACTTGGTAACACAACGGATAAGAATCATCATGGTACATGCATCGCTTACTCAGTGTCGTAGAACTGTCCTGCCAGTGGTACTCATAGTTAGCGTCGCGCTTTGCGTAACAACTCAAGGTGGCAATACGTCACCCACAGCAACGTCCCGCGACAACGAGCAAGTCGCATATTCAACAGCATCAGCGACAATTCATCCCGGCACCTTCTCGCCCGTCGGTCCGTGGTCTACTCATGGCGTCTGAATCCAGATACAGAAGCTTGTCCATCACCCTGCTTGCCAGGGCAGCTTCCGTTGTTGATTGTCTTCTAGCGCATCCAGCCCTGAACGATAATTTTGAACCTGTCAAGGCTTTTATTTTGTCCAAGTATATATAATAGCTGCCTTGGAGATATTATGCAGGACGTGACCTTTAATGGAATCTAAAACTCTCTGTCTCTAGCATCCCCATATGGGTAATGCAGTGTGACTAATTATTTAGAGGTCAACTCTACACACCGGAAGTCGACGATGCAGGAAAACTCGAATTTCTCCAAGTTAATCAATTTAGATCCAAGTCTCCCACTCGAGAGCACGATGCCATTGCCTGTCAAAAGGGTGGCTTGATGCCTTGTGCTCCCGCACCCCGACCTAGCCCTCATAGCGTAGATGAGGGAGTAAGGTTGTGGGTAGTTAAAAGAGGCTTCAGCCTCCAGCGCACAAAGGTAAAGAACACCAATAAACACATACAGGCAAGATACTCATTGCTGCTGTTGCCTAGGAAATAGCGTAGATGAGAATCCCCAGTAATTTCATGAGGATAAAAACCTCCATGGCAGCTCTATGAACCTGATTGAGATCGTTAAGCAATTGATAAGAAGTTCGGTAACTTTCTCAATGGAACAATGGGTAGGCTATCATTCTATTCCCTCGATCACGTCAACATACTGTATCCCGGAACTGTAGTTCTGACAGCCTAACTTTGCCAGCCTTTGATGCTTAGAAGTTGATGAGAGCTTTGCACGTGGCCTGATGGTGGATTGTACCATTTATGCGCGGAGTGTCCAAAGGTTTATTGATTGTATCTGGTGCGATAACGGCCAGCGCTGTAACGGATATTAAATCTCAAAAGCGAATAGAAATGGTAAACGATTAAACCCTAAGCGCTTGTCAAAGTATGTTATTACATCTCCAAGTTGTAGAGTAATTAAGAGAAAATTGTTCATTACCTTAAAGTAGTATAAACAGACAATGCTTTTTACTGACTTGATCTTAGAAAACGAATTGATGTGAGATAGGGATTCAAACTACCCTAATAAACAGATTGACACTTTTTGCTGAGAATGAATTTGACAGACCATACTCCGTAAGAATTAACGGTTATCGATAGCTTATCATTCAACGCTAAGCCAATCCGGCAGTTAGCCCCACCAAGTCCACCCGATAAGATCTCGGACTTATCTCAGGGTTCATTATAGTCGCGATTAAAATAAGAGCATGGACGCGGATCAAGTCAATCCACAACAGTTACTCCCAGCGTCACAGTCTCACAGTGCGCAAGAAGTCTGAACGCTGATGGCAAGTATGAGAGTATTAATATTAATTGAAGAAAGTGTGTTGCGCTGGTCAAAAGACTCCTAATCTTTAATGTAAACTCATCGGAACCGAATAAAACTGGCCAGATTACTTTAACTACTTCAATTGACATCATGAGTTCTCTCTCCCTGGAGTGCGTACGGGATCCCGCGCCTGCGCGATTGAGTCACGAGAAGCTTGGCTACCGATTAAAACGACCTTTTGCCTCACAAGAATTGACAAGGAGCCATTTCGGTGCCTGGGACAGCCGTTGCAGCTCATCTTCCCCGGCTTCAGTGAATCTTCAGCTGTTCGCTTTAGCAACAAGACAGATCTGTGGAAGTACATTGAGTGTTTGTGCCGGCACCATGCGTGATGGCTGAGACAATATGAGTATACCAACGAATCACATACCCCCTTTGGCTTGATGGCGCCAACAAGCGTGTCGGAGCTAGCTGATCATCAGAAAGACACAGTACGAAAAAGAGCAAGCACTATAATCATTGATGTATTAGTTGGTGCTAAGACGGGTCCTCTCTAACTGATCAGTTCTTCCTCGTCTTGATATGCCACTCTTGCGCCCTCTTCACGATTCGGATTAGACCTGCCGCAAATACAGCCAAGATATCTATTTCGATGTCAGGAATGATTTTCAATTGACAGTTTCTTAGCGTTGAAGCCATCACCGCATACAACAGGAGCCGTGCGTGGCACAACGACATTTCGCCCTCTCTCAATGTGCTACATGGTAGGTTACACAAGCCTCAAAACCAGGCTCTCGACCGAATACGAGATTTCGCATCAATGGTTACATGTCTCTAGTGTACAGGATCTCAGCGTTAAATGCACACAAGCATAGATCGAGTTGTGCAATCACAGCGCCAGTGTACCCAGATCATGCAATGAGTGGTGCAGTAACATGACTTCGTCAATGCAATCGAACAAGTTGAAACATCCTCAGCGTTTATATGATAGTAAAGCACCACAGATACCTCTCATCTTGATGATTGCTTCTCAAACCTTCTTGCAAGTTTGGCATAATTACCGTCAGGGAAATCAAGGGTTGGAGAGGGTAAGTAAAAAAAAGAGAGTCTTTTCATGACTCAGGAGTGAGCTGCACCGTGCAACTGATCAGTGGCGCCAATGCCAAGCACAAGAAAGCAGTCACAATAGTACGTTGCAAAAACAGGCCGTAACATTCGCTATATACGCACTGCACTCAAACTGTCAAAGCTAATATCGAAGCCGCTGTTTAACATTTCGGCATTCCGTTGGAGCCACTCTATCAATGATCCATTTCCCAACCTCATGTCTCCTGGTCTGTTGTGCTGCTATAATAAAGGCTTAACTGCAACTTGGGACATTAAAGGCCTGGCTGGCCTGGTTGTATTTCCACCAGCAGATCGCAGGATGAAACATTTGCCATCAACGCATTGCCCTGCCACGCGTCACCCAACCTCCACAACGTGTTACACAAGGCTAAGACAGGCGTCCCGACCTGCCAGTGAACCAAGGATGCCTGATTAGATCTCCGCAAAGAATCAAAACAAACTGTATCATCTCATGTAATACAGCCAAGCTAGCTGTAGCACAACTGTCATAGGCTGACCGAGTTGGCCTATCGAAATTAATGGTAACGCTGCGTCATGCTGCCCTGGGGATGTCGCCTTTTACGGGTATCTTGTTATAGAAGACACTGCAGAATAGATCGAGGTAGCGTGCGGCCAAGATCCCTTGACATTTGGGCTTCGTACGTTGTGTGATAGAAGGCAGACGCAGTCACAGGGAAACAGAACTCGGCCATGCTATGTAAGAGACACGTCTTCCTCGATCTCGCAAAGTGAGATCTAGAGTTGGATCCCGCCAAAAGCTCCCAATTTCTCTTCCAATCACAAGCTTACTCCCTCCCCCATCCCCTCCACAAACTCCACCTGCGGTATCTCCACCTCGTCACTTACTTCGCCTTCCCGAGGAGTTGCAAGAGAAGATCTGGCGTCTCACCCTCCCCGACTTCAGGGTGCACCGAGTGATCATTAAGATACAGTCCAGCTATGATGAGTGGTGCGAGCCTGAGCCTGAGGATTGGCCAGGTCTGGAGGGCCTCGAGACGCTGTACCTGGAGCGACCTATCTACCGTTGGCGCCAGATCATCGAATCCCCACGACGACCAGCTGGCCTTGGCGTGTGCAGAGACATTCGAAGAATTATTCTCTCGTTCTTTCGCGAATTCCCCAGGCGACGTATTCGACACCTCGTTCAGAACGATGAAGGGCAGAATCGCTTTTTGGATATCGACGCATTAGAGGGTGATTTAAATGTCGGCCTGTGCAATCCAGAAACAGACATGCTCTTTATCGATGGGAGCTCTGCGATGTTTCCCCTCAACCTTCGCAACATTCCCGTCATGGGCGTGTCAGTCCAGGTCGAGAAGGTCGGTGGCGTAGGGCCTTCTCTGGCCTGCGACCATCTCGCGCGGATCGTGGCTCCTCACTACACCCCTCGCCTGTTACACATCACCGCTGTGTATGCCTGGCGAATGAACCCCCACGCGCGCCATGTATACTGTGACGTGATGGTACCTGTCGGATGGCCCGTGGCTTGGACTGGGAGCGCTGGGCATCTGGAGACAGAACTTATTCACGATTAGCAGTTCCCCCACTACGGCCGCGACGATGGTCGAATCACTATAGGAGAGCACTTTGAAGATAAAGAGGTGACGAGGCTTGATGAGAACGATATGAGCAGCCACACTACGCTTGTCCTGTCGACAATGCCTATGGAGCCTAAGGGTTATAGAAGCCATGATAAAATGAGCAGCGATTCTTACGGAGGATAAGATGGCTCAGTTATACCCGAGATGATGAATATGGTCGAATTGAAAAAGTTGATGACGGAATTGAGGCGGATGGCATAGTTTGGAAAGGTGCTCAGTGGTCAGTTATAGGGAATCATGGAGGAACGTCGCTTGGATCAGATAGCAATTGAACTAGTACACAGATTTAACAATAAAATGAAGGTTTCAAACACTGCATTTGGGATAAAATTGAAGTCGACACGAAATAATGCCTGATGACTCTCCAATTATCTCTGTAACTTTTGTCGTGATGCTTTGCATCTTAAGCTGGCCCCTAAGTAGTAGGAGTTCACTGAGCTGTGCTGTTCGTTTGAGCCAAGTGCGAACTTATCCGACGATATTTCCAGTACAGATCCACGCCATTAAACATTATTCATGTCTCAATGGTTTGAGGCTCCCATGAAACGCGGTACAAGCTAAAAAATATTCATGTGTTGCAAAAGATCTCCGAGGCTGTGTAAGATCGAGGTTAAGATGTGGCGCGTGTGTGGCTTGTGAGGCTAGAGCAGTGAGTGTTGAGCTGGCTGGCATCTTAAGATGACGGCAAGTCACAGAGTAACCTGAAGACAGCACAGCACTATGACTGCAAATGCAGATCATGTTTGTGAAAGAAATAAATGAGATCCAATAGAGAGCCGTAATCACCGTTACTACGAATTGTCTGAACATAACCTCATCGTGGGACTTTTTCCGTCTTTTTATCGTCTTGGTAGCCGACCGAGACTCATCTTAAGATGGCCATGTTCAATTCAAGGCACATCTTTCAGGCCACTCACACGAACAAAAAACAATTGTTAGATAGTCACTCTTTCAATTCTCAAATGAATAAAGTAAAAATTGCAAAATGCCAAATAAAAGACTGTGTTATTATCTGAATGCCACTTGATTTATTGCCATTTCTTGATACCCGTGCCTCCGTTTATTTTTAGATGAGAGGCCTCGAGGTGCTAATAAGATAAGACCGAGATTAAGATTAATCATGGGTTGATTGTGGAGTCAGCGGTCTCTTGTCTGTGAGGGGCATCACCCGTGACAAGTCCATCTCAAGTCAAGATTCACAGTTGATCAGCCTCTCAGTTGATTCAAATACATAGTGCAGCTCTCCCGGCGATCCGTTGCTCTATCAATAATATTCATACAACTCCAGAAAAGAAAAAGTAACCCAGCATCCATTACATTCATGATCCAATAGTCACCTCCACTGTCAGAACAACAACAACTACCTACAAATGAACCAACGATCCATGGTCTTCAACCAACACCGCATTATGACTCTTGTATCGATCGCACTCCTCTCTTAACCGCGTTCTCAAGCTACAAAAGATAAGGAGAGCCCGCCATGACATTCGCCTACGTCGTATCCTCAGTGGTAGTGCGCATACGGCTCAATGGAAGTCACAATGGCATCGACCCTGCTCTTGAGATCTCTCTCCTCCTCCCTCAACACATCCCCTCGGCCTCAGCCCTCCGCAAGTCCGCATCACAAGAACGCTGCAACTCCTTGCCTAGGGTGTCTCTTACAAAAGCGAGCTCATCAGCAAGCTCCTGTATCTGCCGCTCCTTATCTAAAAGGCTTTTGATAACGCCCTGATTCACGTTGATGTCAGTGTCAGCTGTGACTGACTGAAGCATGTCGAGTCTGTCGGCAGGATATGCTAGTAATTGCAAGAGAGCTGAGTCACCAAAGCTATCAACGATCTCTTTCTTGCCCCGGAGCTCGCGCTTTTTCGCTTCCACTTTTTCGGGATTCTGCTGGACCGTTTTGTGGCGTTGCAATAGAGCCACCACAGACTCTTCGACATCGAGCTGCTCCATTGGGATACCAGCCGCGCACTTTGACTAGCGGGCAGCCTTTGACGGGGTCGCGTCTATGACGTGGCTATCAGAAGGAGCTTCTGATTTATCCGAGGCTGGAATAAGCTGCCGTTTCTTGTTTGCTGGCGTGGAAGGGGTCGCGTCAGGGTTGCCCTCTATAGAGGCTTCCCGTTTGAGTCCTCTGGGACGTAGAGTGGGCTAAGATTGGAGAAGCTTAGTAAAAGTTAGAGGGCTGGAGGGGACATACGTACCATGCTGATGCAGTGGAGTTCAGTGTTGAACAGTGAATGGAATAGTGGGCTTGTTTGGTAGTGGCTGGCTTTGTGGTGATTGCGAAACTGGTAGAGAGAAGACAGAGTGAAGCGAGAAGAGGCAAGAGAGAGGCAGAAAATCAGAGGGGAATGCACTGCTGATTCTTGTTTGTTCGCAATGGCCATGTTTTGGTCTTGGAGTTTAGCGAAAAAGCGTTTGCAAAAAAGCATAGTGTCACAACTGTCACCAACCGCCATTAGCACCCGCTTCCAAACTGCTCAACATGGCAGACACACGCCACTATTTGCATGATTATATGTCATGCGGTATCTCTTACAGGCTCAAGCGTCATTAAAGTATTTTCACACTGACCTTGCTTCTATGGAGCTTGTAGACGGTCGATTATAACCAAGAGCCGGCTTTACGGTAGTAAACAAGTTATTGAATTAGAGAGTAAACAGACCTACAAGAGAGATCAATTGAATTTTGGCACTACTGCAACATTTGCATAGAATTCACTGCTGATACTTGTTCTTCAGATAAAATGAAATTTGGAATGAATGCGCGTCTTTTTGACTTTACACGATACCCTAGCCCCGGAAACCTGCAGATCAGGGACGTGATACGATTTCAAAACCTGCGCCCAACGCAAAAACCCGCTGTTTGCTACCGGCACACCACCGACGCGTATTGTCAATTGCGCTTCGCGTTTATGTATACGATGGATATCCCTCAGCCCCGGAGGTTGAGATGATCTGGCACCAAAAGGCTCTCTTCACGATACCTGCCTATCCACAATAGAAGCTTGTATTTGACAGCAGTAGTCTGTTGAACAAGACTGATTGCCTATTCCCGCAGTATAATGTGATCCCCTAAGATATCAATTGACGCAGACACAGAGTCTGAGGCATTGTAATTAGATGATCTTGGTTTGGCTTGTTGAAGTAAATTATCGCGGTGGAGGTGCTGAGACATCCAACCGGGTCACAATCAAAAAGGTTGTCCTCTCACGAGGTCGTCCTTTTACAGTCGACGTTGGTGCGTCGCCATCTCCATTGATGATTGATACACGCTCTTGCGGCGATGCGATAAGATTCCGCGGCCTCGCCTTGGCCACGACGCTTGCATCACGGCCACCGATTATTAAACCACAGGGGGGTTCCAAGTCGGAGATGGGGTCCGAGGACACAGTCCGCTTTAGTGAACATGCTCATGGTCGGGTACGCTTGAGTTCCGAGTTGAAGAGGGCGCATCTAAACGCCGTTTTGCACGTACATAGATTGGATCATCTCTTAGGGGAGATGTGGGCGCAAGGAATACAGATAGATGGTCGGGCATCCGACAGTGTTGGTACCGATCGCTGTTGCGCCCGCTAGCCGCTGGAAGACAACGCATCAAACGAGTGGAGCCGCCCTTGAGAAAAAGATCTGGGGCCATCAAAAGGAGACGGATTTGGAGTCGTGAGCTTAACACCGATTTACCTGCAACGGATATCAGACCAAAGCGAGACTGTTCTATTAACCAATATCCATTGATAATATAAGGTTAAACGACATCCCTCAACGCGAAGAATGAAACTAAATATAACTATAATAATTAAATACCAGTCTCTTCTACCCAGCTACCTGGAATCGCTCTCAATTTCCAGAGCCCTTCTTTGCGCCCTGCCTTACGCCATTTGCACTTCTGTTTCCGCTCAAAACGATTCTCCATAAGGACCATCTCACGATTTAGCCAGTCGATATCCTCCTTGCTAGCTTCATCCAAGGGCCTTGGGTATTGTTGCAATGGATACCAAAATGGCCATCCCTCCGAGACCTTGTCTTCGTCATGGTCAAAGTCCAAGATCTGCCATTTCTTCCAGGCTTGGTACTGTTTGATACATTTCCTTGTAGTCATATCAGAACTAAAGAATGTAACTGGAGTCATAAAGTGTTGAAATTCGTTCAACAAAGTCCTGGTAGGGCACTCGTTTTCCGCTGTTTGAACCCAACACGGAAGTTCTCTACCTCTTGACTCCACCATAGTTAGAACTCGTCTGTAGTTCGAGGTAGAGGACTCCTTCGTGATCCAAGGTGGGTCTTCCTCCCAAGTCGCAAAGCAAAACTCGGTTTCGAACCTAACGTGATCGTCCGTGTTGACACCAGCTAGTTCCAGCATGTCTATCCAGTAATGCATTTGGGTCAAAATGGAACTACTATCGTCGTGATAATGTAGTATCCCTACAAAAACACCATTCAGCCTTGGCAGTGAAGGGCGCCGATAGACATTCAAGCCTCGAGAGATAGCGTCAGCCACTAAAGCTGCCCATCCCTTCAAATGTCCGATTTTGAGACACTTGAAATGATCTTTGATGCATTCCCAAATAGCCTCATTGAAAGGTTCCCAATCGTCAATGAAATATTGTCGACAGGCTTCGATGCATAGCCTCGTATTCCAAGGTAATCGAAATGCTGTTAAAATCTGGCCAAACTCTCCAGGAGTGATGAAATCTTTCCGTAGGTTGATATATTCAATCACCTGGGTCGTATCTTCAGCATGATTCAGGACGTAGCTAAAAGAATGACTGCATAGATGAGATCTAGAAAGTCAGTACACATCTCAAAAGAACAGTATCTTCCCCACATTTACCTAGTAAAAATGTCTGCAGTTTGATTCATGAGAAACTCAAGGAGACGGCTCGCTCTTGTGAGGACCGCTAACTGCTTATGTATCAGAAAGTCGATCATTTGACAATTGAAAGGAGATCTTACTCCTAATAAGGATGTTTCTTTATCTGGATCGTAATCAAAAGTCGACAAAATCGTGGCAGGGGTAAGTGTGCCCTCTCTAAAAAGCTCTTGAACCTTTTCAAGGTTGTCTTTCACGAAGGCCTGTTCTATACCTCTCCCGAAGATGCTTCCTCTATTACAGATAGAAATGACGCGAGGGAGTTGAAATGAAAAGCTAGAGGGGGAAAGTGCTCCTTGTCGCATTGAGAATTTTACATGCCAGTTCAACAACGATATGCCCAAGGTGAAAGTGGACTCGTTCTGGATTGTAGAGAATTCGGGGCTTGCTAGTATGGCGCTCTTTGTCTGCTCCTTTGTCCTCTGAACAAAGGCCACTCCTTCCCAGCATTGTCTCCAGGTCTCGATAGTAACCTGGGACCTGTGCCCCCTAGAACGAAGCAATCCAGACGACTCGAGAGCCGCCTCTGAACATGTTCTTCCAGACGTGTCTGGCGAACCTGTTGTAGCAAAGGATGGTCCTACTATCGTCTGAGGCGTAGTTATCCTCAATGCCCTATATCATTAATATACCCTTCACTTGTGCCGTGATATTCCTTACAAAGTCACTGATGTTATTTGTAACTGAAGCAAAGAGAGTAAACCGTCCAGCTCATCAGTGCAAGCCTGTACTTGGTCCCTGTGGAGTAAGAATCGGGATCCAATAGTTTTGAGCGGGTTCCGGCTTGGCTTCTGCTTGGCATAAATGATAACAAGAGTCCCGTGAATGTGCGACACTTTCTCATAGCAGGCGGAAATGATACGGTATAGACTGCTGAGAAGATTTTCCCCCGAAGGCCCTCGGGATCGATAATCATCCTCAAGCCCTGGAAGAAGTTCAATGAGCGAATTACAAATGGTTTCGATATAATCGAGCTTATTTAGAAGACTCTTCAGCTGCGTTTCTGCTGATTTATACACCGTAGCCAGGTCTCTGATTGACTTTGCTGTTTGTAGTAGCTGTATCACCAGCGGAATGACGCCTATGGCTAACGAAGCTGGATCCATTTTCGATTATAGAATGAGGTATAAAATTCGAAAGAAAAAGGGCTATCAGAGAGGAGAAAGCCGAACTGCCGGATTTTAATAACCAGCCTGCACCCAATGACTCTGGAAGCAGGGTAGTGTGTCGTTTTTTTATTGGACGTTCCCCACCATAGTGGCTTATTAGGCATATTCCTGGGATTGACTAGCAGGTACCAACCAGTGCTACAGAAAAAAAAGCCTTGAGGCTGTACAACAGGACAGTGACAAATGGCCATTTCAACCCCGCTAAGGACTGCCACGTAACAATGGCTCAGCCTCTTTTGCCACTACGTCGCTTACCCTAGTCTGCCTGACCCGTAATTCAAGTTGCATATGCTGTCCACCAGACAGTTGTGCAGATGAGGAAGAGAATAGAAGCTGGTGGTGAATTTGCTTCTCATTCTTGTTATGAAGTAGCCAGGATGTTATTTGAGGTCGATGATACAGCGGGCGACTGAATTCGGAGATCTTGGTGTTTCTGTGAGCTTTCTCGATCGTCCGAGACTTATGCATTATACAATCTAGTATAATTAAGATATAGTAAAGACTGCGTGCGCTGGTTTAGACTATTACAGGTTAGTGTAGACTGCATTTGTTAGTGGTATTTACAGGTTCGACTTGTAACTGAGAGCCTAAACTAGCACAAACAACCTAGTACCAGCTTAGGCAATATGGAGCTGGTGTAAACTACATGGAAGTTAGTGTAAGCTACACAGGCTAAGTATTTACTACATGTGCCAATTCAAGTGCCGTCCGTTCCACACTGAATTATCCGCGCCTAGATATTTTTTCAGCCAGGTGCTAACAATCTAACAACGAGATCCGAGTACAAAAGCAAACCATGATTACCCCTGATCTTAAGTAAGTCCAAAGTGACCTACTGACCTGGCAAAGAAGGAATCACGCGCTGATGGTTCGGTCAAGTTGTTGTTTCTGAGTCTGAGTGACTTTGTCGCAGCCATTGAAGACAGTCAATCCACTTGTGGTTCAACAAGATGCGATATCAACTGCATTGCTCGATTTGGCCCTTGTGGTTAAGATGGAGCGACACCAAGCGACCATTATGTCCAATATCGCAAGTCTCAAATCCATTGAAACCGAAAACTCTGTAAGCCTCAGGTCACATATAGCGCCACCTCTGCAAAGAATTTCATAGCCAAATACTAATAGTGTTATTGAATAGGTGGTGAGAAAGTGAGGTTATGTACTGGCCAGCAATTTCGCTCTGCTACGTTTCTCTTCCAAGACATTTCGTCTTTAACGCCAAGATCCGTTTATGTTTCAATTTTTCCTTTGCCAAACAACCATCATGCCCGAAAGGAGATCATCTGTGCGCCTCAGTCGTCATCGTCGCCAGTGAGATCGAGCACAGATCTACCATCTGGCATCTTCACCTCCTCGTACTTCCTCTTTGACGGGACACTTGGGTCCAGTTGATGCTTATTTGCTTCCTTGGGAGCTAAGCTTTGTGAGCAATCCTGTCTTGAATGGTTGGGGTCTTGGACTTACGATGAGCGCTGTACTTGTAGATAAACTCACCCAATTTCTTAAGGACTGTAGCTTCAAACCTCTGACGGTCAGACTCTTCAATATCCTCATCCTTGAACCTGCTACCGTTAGAGTCTGTATATCCTGAAGTGGACTTCGACTAACGTAGTCCCATGAGTTAAGCCCTCGCCGTGCAAAATGGTAGCCTTGTGAGCTAGTTCCATCTCGGATCGCTTGGGAGTTTCTGTGACTTCATATGTGCACGATTTCCCCCTCTTGGCAGCCCAAACCGTAAGACGGATGGTTCCCATGGTCTTTATACGAGCCAAGTCTGCCTCGGTCTTGTCACTGTCAGGGTCTTCAACTGAGAACAAGTTAGTATAAGAGTCAAAACTATTCAGTCTATATACAAACCTGAAAGAATATCCGAAAATACTGGGCATTCTCGCTTTGTGGTACCGTCTTCCGTTTTGACAAGTTTAAAGTCCCATGTTGGTGGCATGTAATTCCATTCTTGGGGCTTAAGGTGCTCAAAACCGACTAGGAATCTGTCGAAGAACGTCCCATCAATGTGGATGTGGATGCCAATGGCGTCAGTCGTAGCAGGGAGACTGTCGGTCTTGAGATCGGGACTCAAGGCGAGGGAGACCCCAAAATGGCAGCCTGACTTAGACACGATATAGTTGTGTCTGGTAGGAAGTTTAGTATCTTCCGACGCCACGCTACGGTTCTTGTGCTCGTCCGCTTTGGCATCTTCGTCGCCGACATCTCTCTTTTTGTTTTCCTCAAACGGCCATTCCTGAGTGGGCAGGCCATCAACGACGATCCTGACCTCAATGCCAGGAACTCCGGGGAGAACAGCCATTGAGGAGCGGAATTGCCAGAATCAAAGGTAGGTTGAAGAACAGGACTTGTGTGAATGAGTGAAGTGAACTTGAGGTGATAAGAGAGGGGGAAAGAAGAGAAGAGACAGGAAATAGTGAGGCTGACGAGAAAATTCTTCATTGTTATTGTTGCACAGCGCAAGCTTGTGTTATGCATTGCTCATAATAGTTGGTTGAGGTTGAATGGTTATGTGGAGAATCAGAGACGTCGCTGCCACAGTCAGGTCAGGTCAGCCACAACGAGACACAATAAGATCAAGATGCGTCATCTTAAGACGCGCTGCTCCTTTTGCGAGAAGAAGTGGTGTTCCACTCCATCAGTCACTACTTAATTTATAAGAAACGCTCTCAAATACGTCTGGACTCTGTGTAAATGAATGAAAGAGCGTTAATTTGCAAAACTTCTGTTTCCCCCCTGCATCGTGAACCTGGAGGGCATGTTCGACTTCGCTCCTTCAACATCACCCAACATTCTGACCCAAAGCCCGCTGCCATGTTGTGAGCGCGTCTCTTCATAATACAGCATTTCGGGTGGACTAACAACTTTGCCTCGAAAAGAATCTGCTCTACGATATATCCCTCCCCGGGATGCACTTCACATAGCATCTCCGACAAATGAATCGCTTCAAGGAGCAATTTAACAACTTATACAGCAGATCATGAACGAGCACTCATGCTGGCCCACCTGATTACACTTATCAACATCTGACGTCGTCTTAAATACAGTATACAAATCTGCACTCGAGATTTGATCGATAGCGCCACACTTGGTGCCCTGCCCAGCGTACAATCCGGCGACTTCTGTCATGTTGAGACCTCTTTTTCCGAGCTCCGGAGATCAGATACGGCAGAGCATGCGGAGTCCAACACGGCCTCTCGGCCTGGGACATGATTGGCCAGGAAGCGAGCTTCTCGCGAGCCATCAGCTCTGTAAGAATTGCTGTTGAATTCACTGCGTAATCAAGGCAAGACTTGCTCAAGATAACCTGGACTGTGGAAAACGGAAGATGCGAATAATACCACCAGGTTTCAAGCTACATAGTGCCCGCACGATATTATTTATACGGAACGGTTGCGCGTCATGTCTGGTGCTTGGAGGGCGTCACGTAACCTCAGGATTAGTTTGAGATCTAGACATCGGATTTAGCCGTCTGGGAATATCATGACAATATTAACTGTTTGCAGTCTAACAGATATCAAGACCAAGACAAGAAATATCATGCACCCATTTAATCCGAGATTGGAAGACTCGATATCCTACATTGGTATCTGTGATGTGCCAGGTGTAGTGCTTTCAACTAGTATTTGACCGTGACATTGCTAAATTAAGTACAAGATGTATTATAGCAGCTATCACTTCAAGAGAAAAAGGACAATGGTAAGAAGACATATTGTTATTGTTGTTACCATAATATGCAAGTTTAATAGTGATACAGTGAAAGAAAGGTAAGTAGTTTGATGTGCGGTGTGGTTGTCCTCAAAGACACCTTGGCCGCAGTGTCATGGCAAACATTGCCGATCGCGACAGAGGAAAAGAGAAGTGGACAGCGCCAGGAAATATGGACATTAAGTTACCCAACTTATCACTGAGCCCCACCATTCATAACAGCGACTACCGGCAAGCGCTCATGTCGCTCTTTTCGGGGTCGTTCAATCTCTCGGGCTTATGCTCGGCAGGCTGCCTATCGCCAACCCTTTACACTACCGCCGACAACAGCAAGGACGAGTAGGGAGCAAATAATCGTGACCACAAGAGCTGTATCAGTTGCCAGTTCTGGCCGCACTGGTGCATCTCGATTACGTGGCTCTTCATAAGCACGCTTCAGTAACTCCGCGGCCTCAGCATAGGTTATTTGAGAGGTAAAGCCTTCAACTGAGCGGCTAAATATCCAGGTAAACACAGTATCGTTGACGGGGTTCTCGGCGATTGTTGGCGCGTCTTCATTGCGGCTTTGGTTCTGCGTTTTCAGGTTAGCATATTAGCCCAAGTAAACAATACGATGGTTGTGGCCATACGCGCTCCATAACATCCTCGAGCTCTTGGGCTAGGGATTTCTTTCCAGCATTTCGAAGTGCTAGTTCTCCATCGGCAGACACGGTGGAAAAGGCTGACTCAGTAGGGGAAGGAGTCCATGGTTTGTTCTCGGCCTCAGCAGCGCGGGAGGGAGCCATTGCAGGTCGTATGGCGTTAGAGCCACGAGAAGATGACTTCTCCTTGCAGGTAATGAGAGACGGTGTAAGTATGTGTATCTGTAGATATAATGGTAAAGTCAGAAAGCTGAGAGAAGATCAGCCTGAATAGCGACTGATGAGGTGTAGAAGAAAGAGTTGAGGACACTTGATCGAAACGGGGAGGGCTAAACGCTCACGGCTGCATGTCTGCCTCAGGACTCATAACAGATCAAGGGTTCTTGCACTGGACAGCAGTCGAAATCTAGCTCGAAAGCTGGACGTTACGTGTCATATTATCTGTTGTGTGTCATGCCGTAAATTCACGGAGCCGGGCGTGCGCTGGAAGTTACGCGAGCCACGTATCAACAAAGGTTCCAATACGTGAAGATGATATGTCAGATATTTTACCGGAAATGACTCCATTGCTGTTTCAACAGGCACCGCCCAAAGTCGCCCCAAGCCTGACCACACTTCACAAACTGACTATTTCTAGTTACTCTATCAGCGAGGTTATAGGTGTCTCAAGAACTGGAACATCATCAAAGAGACTGAAGTCATGTAAAGACAGTATTTCGAGACATTATCTTGTAGCTCGAAATGAAGTTGGGAAATACGGGTCCGTGCTTCTCTTAGTTTGGTTCTGATCTTGAATTTGCTAGCCTTAGTATTGGGCTTTTTGTAAACATTTTCTCATCAGTTGGCTTTGCCCCCTTCAAACCGACCAACGGGCTGTCTCCCTCCATGGCTTGGCAAGCCTCAAGCCGTTCGACTGTTAATTTCATTTCGTTTTATTTAGTTATTGCTACCTAAGCAAGGGGGTGCAATAAACCTCGGGACCTCTATCCCAGGTGACAAGAGTTCTTACGTAACTTTAAATAAATTTAGTATAGATTTAGTAAGTGATAGACTCAGTAATTTTTGCACCTCAATTAACGTCAGAGGTCTTCTTGCTTCTGGCCCGATTGCCAGTTCGGTGGACTGTAAGATAAAGGAATTGGGCTGAGAATAGTGTAAAATTTGAAGCTGCAGGGTATGTTAAACACTGATCGCTAGGAGCGGGCGGAATATTATATATCCGCTTAAACTCATCAGGTGACCACGCGTTTCTCGCGCCATTTAATCTCGGCACAGATTCACGCTTCTCCACCTCACATCATCACCATCGCCAGCCATGGAGAACAGCATTATTCAACAAATCAGACAGGAACTCGGCGGTTTCAGGGACGAAATACGAAGCGATCTCAAGACAGTTAATAAAAATATCGATGGTCTTCGCAGTGACGTCGATACCAACAAGAATGACTTTCACGAGTTCCGAAACAGCATAACAAAAGAACTACAAGCTGTTGGCCAGGGCCTTCGGAGCAATACAAACGACTTCCACAAGTTCCGAAATAGCATAACAGAAGAACTACAGGCTGTGGGTCAGGGCCTTCGCAGCGATATTGATACCAACAGAAATGACTTCAAAGAGTTTCGCAATAGCATAACAAAAGAACTACAAGCTGTGGGTCAGGGCCTTCGGACCAATACAAACGATATACGCGAGTCCCGAGACAGTATAACAAAAGAAGTGCGGGCTGTTCGTCAGGAGCTTCGCAGCGATATTGATACCAATACAAAGGATATTCACAAGTTCCGCAACAGCGTAACAACAGAATTCAAGGCTATCAGGGATCGAGATGCTGCTCTGAGGAATGCACTCGACCAAGAGTTCAAGTCAGTCGATGACCGCTTCCAGGATGTGCATCAGCGATTTGACGAAATGAAATGCGAATTTGCTCGAATCCAAGCAATCGGTCAAAACGGCAGACTATCAAACCCCTTTCTTCCCATCCATGCACTTCCGATCTACCTACCGAACCAAGGCATCACGTACCCCGAAGCCACGCATTTCCCTAAGAATGCGAATGAGTTCTATGCCCTCAAGCAACCAACCAGTCAGCGACAGACTGCTATGCTTGCCTACCTCGCCATGTTCTATGACATCTCGAACTATAAACAACACGGCGAAATAGCCATACATGACCCAGAGGAGACACTTGGGTATCTCGAGAACATGTTCGGTCTCGAGGAGGAGAGATTCGCCCGGTTTAGAGCCCGCGCGCACGAATTGAATCAAGTGCCAAAAGCAGCTCCGATAAAGCGCAGCCAAGTCGCTGACGTGGAGCACCTGTTCCCGCGCAAACGACAACACTCAAGACATTCTTCAGATCCCGAATCGCACTTTACTTACGGACCTGAGGAGAAGCTTGGCTGGCGGCATAAAAGCTTGTCGAATCCTACCGAGGCGGAGCCGACCATTGGGGGATTGGCCAAGAGGCATAGAGACTGGAAGCGGGCTCAAGATGCTGCGAAATCGTCAGATGACTCGTCTGAGGACAGGTCCTTGGAAAGATCAGCTCAAGCTGAAGGGGACTCAGGAAGTACGACGAATATTAACACGTCGAGGGATGACGAATCGGAACAAGAGCAAATACCAATACTGTCACGTCGATCTTGACGCGACTAATATCGGCTGGACTGATGGGCACTTATCCATAGAGGATGAATAATGATAATGATTGATAGAGACTGAGAAATGACCAGGTGGTCTTGAATCAGAATTGCGATGCTGATGTGTGTTGGATTGTTGGACTAGATGGAAATTAGCTGAGCATTCCTTGGGTCCCTGCTTTATAACGCTCAGACTTCATTTAATTATCCACCACAACTTTTCAAGTTTCTTTGTGACTTTCCCGCTATCAAGCGCGCCTAAGGTTAGACACAGTTAACACACAGACCTTCCTTTCAATACCCTGTGACCTGGACATTTGTATATCAGAGCGATATATAGCTCAAGCTTCCCCGCGCTTCTCTTCTCTACATGCCGTTCGGAATACGGCAGCATAGCTCCAAATCCGGGCCGTACTAGTGTTCATTTCCTCGTTGTCAGTAAATCATCTTAGACCAGGGCTAAGCGCACTAGAAGTATTGGGTGGCACACCTCAAGGATGAAGGTCGGCTCTGCACAAAGGCAGAACAGCATGAGGCCATGCGAAATTCCGTGCTTGCTTCAGATACTATAGTAGTTACCGTCGGGTAATTTGTCCTCGTACATTGTGGTGATTGCGACAGAAGTAAACCTTGGACGAATTTGCAAGACGGGATACAAATATCTCTCTGGCCTTGACCTGTTTGCGAGCAATTACCGACGGGTAATTTGTCCGTGTAAGGAACAACAAGTAGCAAGGAACATATGACATTGAGTATCCAGCCTTTCTTGCATATACTTTTCAATTGCTCTACTTCGATATCATCTACTCAGGCGGCAGCCATGCATCGGAGCTGTTCTATTGTGTTCGCCACTATGGCTGGCGACGCTATGGCATCGCTCGGCACCTCGAGCGGAACAAACAAACCAGCTTACGTTGGCCGACGCTTTACACGTATGTTTTCCACGGCGGATGATGCGAATGATCGTGCAAGTTGGCGTCAAGAACAAGCCGGGAGTGTCCAGCGGCTCACAGTGCAGTGGCACACTCGTGGCCACATACGGTGAGAGCTACGGCCCAACCCTCTACGCCAACTCGTCATTCTCTGGCACTTGTGGCCCAGCCACTTACACAACCGATAACCTGGGTTACCACTGGACACCTCAGTGGTGGGATGACGCCAAGTTTGGCATTTTCATCCACTGGGGTCTCTACAGTGCCCCTGCCTGGGGCGGCGCGACCCCGAACGAGAACTATGCCGAATGGTAAGTTTTTGTCCAGAATTCGTCACCAGCGATAGCCCTCGGTTAAACTACTATAGGTATTCTGCAGGTACTGGTACCGTTCGCATCAATCAGACTTCAACCCTAGCTACTATAACTACCATAAGGAGACATATGGCGAGGATTTTAACTATGATCAATTCATTTCCAACTTCACTGATGCCGGTTGGGACCCCCAGCAGTGGGTTAATCTCTTTGCCAATGCAGGCGCCAAGTATTTTGTGCCCGTAACAAGTACGTACAGTATCTTTCTGTCACTGTCATATGGTATGGTATGGTATCGTATGAGGAAGCTGATCCCCTGCAGAACACCACGATGGTTTCTCACTTTTTAACATGCCCTCGAGCATTTCGAAGCGCAATTCGGTGGTCTGGGGCCCAAAACGCGATTTCATCGGCGATCTGTTCGCCGCTGCGAAACAGTATCAGCTAGACTTGAAGAGAGGTGAGCAGGCTCGTTAGTTGATCAGGTTATGCTGCCAGCACTGACATCGAACCCACAGGCATTTACTTCAGCATGCCTGAATGGTACAATCCCGCGTACGCCAAGTACGCAGCCTGCTTGGCCGGTTGCAACGACTTTGGTATTCCTGACACCAACCCCTATACCGGAGCGAATGTTACCTACACAGGCTATGTTCCAGTTAACGACTTTGTCCTCGATATTCAACTCTCGCAGATGAACATCCTCGCCAACGAATACGAAACTGACTACATGTGGTGCGATATTGGCGGTGCTAACAACGCCACTATGTTTTGCCTCCGAGTGGTTCAATAATGCTACCCAGCAGAATCGGCAGGTAGCCATCAATAGCCGCTGTGGCTACGCTGTGGACATGAGCAACCCCGAATATGAGTCTGGCTTCAGTACTCACGCCGGTAGCTGGGAGTCGAACCGTAGCATGGACCCTTACTCTTTTGGCTTTAATTACATGACCCCAAATGATGCCTACATGACTGGCGGAGATTTTATCAACAGTCTCGTTGACATAGTTAGCAAGAATGGTAACTTCTTGCTCGATATCGGCCCAACCCATAATTAGGTATCCCACAGATTATGCAAACTGGTCTGCTAGACGCCGGCAAGTGGCTGTCCACACATGGCGAGTCTATCTACGAGACTCGATTCTGGTGGACTACTTCTGGACAGAATAACTTCCGCTATACCACCTGCCCTCAGTACTTATCGGCGTTTTACATCCACTACCTTACGAAGCCTCCTTCATACTTGGTCGTTCCCGACCTTGTACCGTACCTACTAGGCGATACTGTTACGCTGCTGGGCGGCAGTGGCGCCGGAACTGTTATCAAGGTTGACTGGCTTAGCAACGGCTCGATTGCTCTACATATCCCGGATGAGGCTATTAACGGTGATGAGTATGTTTGGACCTTTAAACTAGATTATACTAGCAGCTGGTAGAGAAGTAGCCGACCTCCTTACTCTCTGGGAAGCCAACATATGTCATTGTGGTATGGATTAACCCTGGGGCAAAGATGGCCAGTATGAATGAAGGCAGTATGGAATGCAGCGGTGAGCTTGGAGATATCTATGGTGTTCAATGCTGACTGGATGCGTCACCCGATGTAATGAGAAATCAACAGTGAAGTGAATAGACTGTTTCCAATTGGTGGCTGGTGCGAATTAAAAGCCGATTACAAATGATCTTGTATGGTAGATAGCCTGGAGGGAGCGAAAGAACACACAAGACGTCAAGAAAGGCACCAGCACTGATTGACAGGGTCATGTGTATGACAGATGGTATGAGCACTGATGCAGAAGTGTTGAAGGGGATGCTAGCACTGATGGGACCGAGAGATAGAATAGGTTATCTCTCATTACATAATATTGTAAGAGGCTTAGATATATACAGTCTTTTAGTTCTTCATCTCCCAGCTTAAGATTTACAACCATATGACAGTTTGGGTAGTCCTAACAGTCGATCATACAACTTGGATCTCTATTAACAACCTGATTCATCGTGCCACATCCACCATTCATCAGAAACCGACCAAGTCCCATTTGCGGCGTGAAACGAATTGTAAAGCTCGAAGAACTCTGTCCACTTGAACAACTACTGCCAATGAGAAGCTTTCAACCAGTTGCTCCGTCACTGTAAGCGCCAGCGCAGTTTAGAGTCTCGGCGCAGGCAATACAGCAGTCTGTTACTGAATCGGCGACAATCGTCGACACAGTATAGGAATCCGAACAAAAGGGCTCGTCCAATCCACTGACATCCACCCCGCCGTTCTGAAGACTAAATAGTATAGCGTCTGTAAAATTATTAAGTGCGCATTGTTGATATACTTTTGCGGTGTAAACTGGTATTATCGACGTAACCGTCGATGTTGTGGAAGTGCTAAAGATAGTGTTAGTTCTATAAGACCTGCAGCCCCCAATTCGGTATTATCAAGAAACTCACGTTGTCGTTGGAGTAGTAGTAAAGGCTACAGTGTTGATAATTGTGGTTGTTATTGTAACCACCGCATTTTAAGCTGGAAGTGTTTAGGTTGAAGTGAGTGTAGAGGTCCTGGAAACTGTTACTGTTTTCCAGGCTCCTATTTTTGTGCTTAAAATAGTCCGAATACTTATCCTGCGTGAGTATCTTTTGACAGTAGTATAGCAAGTGACTTCGGCGGGGTACGAGGGAGCTTGCTTGCTGCCCAAACATAAGCGAGATACTGCCCGGTTTGGTGAAGACAAATCGCGTTTCCGTCGCTTGACTGATTCGACGAGGCTCGCTGATGGGAGAGACGATATGACAGGGACGAAACTAGATGGTGGTGGAATAGTTGTTATGCCAGAAAATGCCGAGGTTATACTTGTAGTAGTCAAGACAGTGGATATAGTTGTTGACAGAGTGGTAGCTGTTGTAGATACTGTAGAAGTTTGTGTGTTTATAATAGTACTCTATAAGATGTATTAGTTCAACTCATTACATTATTTTAAGAGCATACATACTGTTAGCTGCGATTGTGATATAGTACTAATGCTTGTAGTAAAGAAGGAACTTGGTACAGTTGTCAGATAAGGGATAATGAAACTTACACTAGAGAAATATTAATAGATATCTAAGCCGTCTTTTCCTAGCACATACCGAGTTAGCCACACTACAATAAGTACATTAACTGCCTCTATAACCTCTATATGAGTTTTGGTAATGGTGGGGATAGATGTTGACTGCAAGGGTATAATATTTGTGCTTTTTGTAATATAAAGTTAGCTGGTTAATGCTGCCCAGGACCCATATAGCAAGAGGGCAATTATACCAACGACTAGAATGGCATTGAAGGTATGGATAGTATATATTTTAAGCCTAAAGACATGTCTAATTACAGATATATAATTCCTGTATTAAAACAGGTTCTTCCTAAACCTTTATACTTCTTTTATAAATACAAAAAGTTATTTTCCTAAAAACAGCAATACAGTAAAACTAGCAGGTAACGATCTTTAGTATTACAATGCCCCACTTCACGCCCCCCCTTAAGTACCTTTTTCCTATTTTTATATATATTATTACTAAAAAGTAACTTCTTTTTATAGTAATATTTTCCTTAATTTTAAAAACTATACTCCCTTAATTTTAATAGGCTTATAGAGGTCTTAAAGATTACAGGAGTTAACCTAACTAATTGTACCTCCTAATTAAGGGGTGTGATTAAAAAACATATACTTCTATGTTAACTGTATATAAATAACAGGGCTACGTAGCCTAATTAGCTAGCTAAAAACCCGCTACCCTACTTCCTAAGTTACTTCTTAACCTTCTTAACAGAAATTTAGTCTTTAAAATAAAATATAAAATATTTCTAAAATTATTATATAAAAAATAACTAAATAGGAACTTTTATAGATTTTATTTCTATTTTATAAAGCTAAGTTTAGTTTTATAAAATAAGGTTAAGACTTATACTCTATAAGCCTTCTATAAGTTAGTAAGTAATGCCCTGTAATATCCCTGTAATTTAGTAGCTTATGTACTGTAAGGTAGCTGCCTTCTTTGCTAAAAAGGTGGGTGTTAGGTCATTTTGCAGGGGTACATTAGGTATGTTTTTAACACAAAAGTATATGTTTTCTCATCGCGACCTAATTAAGCTTATCAGTCTAATAAAAGTAGGTCAGAAGCCTTATCTCTGTAAATATAACGATAAATCCGTATTATAGCGATATGACCTACCTGACAGAAAACATCGTTATAGCCCTGTTTTACGGTATCTAAAGTGCTTAAAGCTATTCTAATAGTAGTTAGTACTTAGACTTTTAGATCCCTTAACTGGAATTTCCCTAAGTCTAGATAAATAATTATTACAGCTTTAGCTAAGCAAAGGCAAAATAAGGCTAAAACGCATACCTGTCTTAATACTAGAGAATTAATACAAACTTTTCTAGCCAGTTGTAATATAGTTAAAAAGATCCAGGTTTATCAGAGCCTGGGTCTTAACCCCTCCATAGCTCAGCGGGCCTTTCTGAGTGGATAATAGCGTGGATGGGACAGAGAGCGGGATTTAATAAGGGCATGCCCGAGAGTGTACAGCAAACTGTAAGACTCATCTCAAGACTGAATCCGGGCGAAAATAGGCAATGTCGTTTTCGTCTTTTGACACCGCATCGCCGGTTCCAGTAAGTGAGGTTATATTGTGAGGTAAACTAACACTAGACTGAACACTAACCGAGAGACATGCGTTCTTGGAAAATGTAATAAGTGGTCGATAATAAGCGCAATGATATAGTAATTATTATATTGCAACTTACCTTGCTATAATTGAGAAATATAACTCTTCGTTGCATATCCTCAAGCGACAGTAGCAGTTAGGCATACTCTGGTCGCCCCTGGGGTCAGACTCATGTATTGGAGACTGACTTTATTATGAACTAGTGGAGATCGCCTTAGGCAATGTTAGATATAGCAGGCGTTATTATTCTTATGCAATAAAGCGGGTTATGTGGCCAAGATCATGTGGTTCCTAGCAGCTTTGTAGTGATAACGAGTAGGACGTCCTAGATAAGTATGTAAGAACCAATCAAGCACATGGGCCCCTCAGCTCTCCAGTATAATTTCTACCAGTACTTAAATCAATACTGGGCCTTTATTAATAGCTATTATTATGCAAAAATAATTCTTCAGGTATTATGTTCTTTATTGTGTTGCTAAAACTATGTCTACCTTGTTTATTAAGATACTTCCAGAGCTTGGAAGAATAAGATAATAAAGTTAACGAGCATTACGATTTTCCTAGCTAAGATCATATTCATATATCAAAATGCCTCCAGCTCTTGGATTTTCCCTTCTAGTGTAATCATTCTTTGTAACTTCCTACCCTGAGCAAAGTCATTTGGTCCATCGGGCAGTTTCTCAAGTTCCGCCAACTCATCACGTAAAGCTTTCTTCTTCTCCTCCCTCGCCTCGATTGCTTCCTTGGCCTCGTCCTCATACATGAGCCAACCCGCAAGGGGTTGGATTGCATTGAGTTCTGGATCAGGACCTGTAGCTTCGGTCGATTCCTCTTGAGAACCGACAAGACTGCGAAGTCGTGTTCTCGATTCGTCCCTAGCCGAAGACGTTTCCTCTGTCGAATTGTCCTGAGTCTTTGTTGTTGCCTGGACGCCAAATGAACCAGCGACCATCATGCTGCTAATTAAGTTCCCGTTATCATTGATCTTGACCGGCACTGATGCAACTCCGACGGTGACCATATCGATGTCGACAGACGGGTATGCTACACCAGCAAGTACGTCTTTCTCGTTACGGTATTTTGGTTTCCCTTGTTCGTCCCAGAAGCAAAAGGCTGTGATCCAGCCTGTGATGTAATCGGTACCGCTACCCACAGGATTTCGCGTGGCGATAGTGTTCCAGAATCGGGTAACCTTCGCATCCTCTGGCTTCTCAAAAGACAAAATCATGTGTTCAAGAATGGGCCTCAGCATCTCGGCAAACTCTGAAGGCTCCTTTCCCAATTGATCAAGCCGATCTAATCTCGTCAGAATAGCTTCCCAATCTGAGATCTCGCCCAGCAGCGTAACAGAAGGGATTCCACAAGTTAAACACATTCCGTAGGAAAAGTACTTCTGCATAGCTCCCATGAACAGGACAGAAGCAACCACTCGGTCAGTATCGGTTGTTGTCGAGAAGCTTGGCATGACCCAATCCCCAAGTTCGGGGTCTTTGACATTCTTGCTCACAAGCCCTGCCAGCCGTTGAGCCATAGCCCCGATGTTAGCGCTCTCTAGGTCCCCAGCCTCAAAGACCGTAAGCTCTTTCTTGCCCTCCTGGGCTACGAAAAAGGATCGAAGCTCTTCGGCGTTGGCGTTGATGAAAAAGCTTATCTGGGTCAAGATGGAGAACCAGACGTCTTCAGGACGGATAGTTAGGTGGTGATGCTGGCTGTAGGCATGGTAGGCAGACCATACAAAGCCGTTCTCGGATGGGGAGATGTGATTCTCTTGCAGAAGGGACGGAGTGAATGAGGTTCTGATAATGCGTTGGCAGCGGCGATAGTCTCGAGGAGAGGTTTTCTCCAAGAGACTTTCTGTTGTTCCAACCTTGGAGGCTTTCCAAGTGGTTGCTGGATGATTGGCGACAGAGATTGTTACAGGCATGCCTGCAAATTTGCGCAAAGGTGTATAATATCAGATAATAAGAGGGATGGAGTAAATAAGGGATTAAAATGATATGGATAGGTAGCATGAAGAAGACATGTTGCAACGAAGGTCAACTCACGTAAGACAGCCACGTGCGGGGTCATTGGTGGATGACGTGTACGGCTGAGCTGCTGACCCAAGTTCTGCCAAATTGCCTAATACTTCTTCAGTTCACTGACCAATTACTTCAATGCAAGCACCGAGTTTGGGGGCTTATATTGCTCATGCTGCAGTCGCTTGCATTGCTCCGAGGATACTTACCTCACCTACTACTAGATTCATCAGCCTAGGCTTTCCCAGGAACTTTCAAGATAACAATAACTTAAGACTAGCTATTCATCTTCCATGATTGCATAGGCTTTTGTCATTTCCTCCGTCACTAGTAAGAGTCCAATAAGCTTCAAGTATCACAGATCCGCTTGAGTAATTAGATTGCCAGTTCTCATAGCTATCCAAGAATCCAACCGTATACACTTTGTTGATTCCACTCTTGACAAAGTTGATCCGAGCCTGTGATCACTTGTTCGTGAATCTTAGCTATCATAGGAACCACAGTAGTCACAAGAAACATATGGGACGCACGCCTTGGATGAGTGATTATTGGCAGTGCGACGCCAAAGAACATCCTCAGCACCTTATGTGTTGAGATAACAAGGACATATATAGGGAAGATTTTAGTCCGCAAATCCCTTGAAGCAGATTCTGTTTCGCAGCAAACTGACTGAAATTTCGAAAAAAGTCAAGCACCTCTCCATGACTTAAGGCATTGGTGGCGCCGATTGCGAAGAAGAATCGGCGTTATACGAGGTTAATATAAATACTGAGGCTGACTGGGAATCTTCTCCTTGCGGTGCAATTGACTAGTGAATAAGAATTTTACAACAGCTTAAACTTCTGATGATATCTCTATATTTTTTTCCCTTGACACAATGTTATTTAATTCTAGTACAGGGTATGCACTAAGCCGTCGTGGTGGTTAAATCAATCATTCTCCTGTTCAAAGAGTCAAGGTACCTATCAGTCGGCGCTTACTAGCCTTAGTGGGTTAGCCCTGTAGACAACTAAGTTTTATTGGCCCAGATTCCCTGAAGCCCAGTGCCACCACTCTATGCCCTATAACCTTAGTGGGCTTGCGACGCGTTCTGAAACAGTCGTAGTGACTAGTTACGGAGTATCCGTGTTTGATCTGAAGCTATTGATGATAGACTGGTATTGAGAGATAGGTGTCGGGTTTATTAGCAGATTTGACTGTGGTGCCGGGGTGCGATTCTGCCAGTCGTGAGATGGATGCTTGGGCAGGAAAAGGACCTTGCTAGCGACCGTTCAGCGCTGTTCTGCCCCTTGACCGTGTCGCACCAGCAGTGTCTTATCAAGACACAGACGTATTTGGTTAGTGGGGCAAGGAGACTTGCATTGGCTCTGCATCAATTGATAGACTCAAAACCGATACCAGAACGGATATGCGTAGCATTGCAGCTGCAACTATCAGCCTGAACAAATCTGTTGTATATGTCCCGTGCTTGGTACTTCCGGCAGTAGTCTCTCCGTGTGATGAGGGTGCAATGGGTGGGCGGGGAGATGACAGGGCGGTTTCGTTATTTGCTTTTTGGGGCTGTGTGTCTCAGTTGAGACATGAGCAACGAGCCGTGTCAACATTAGGACCTTCACTTCAGGTACTCCCTAGCCCGTCTCTCTCTGCCTATCAAGTCATGCAATAACAAGGCGCGCGCATTCTCTTTTCCCTGAAGCCAGACGCGTTTGCTCAGCCTTCATTGCAATCCCAGCAGGCCCAGCCCTAAGCCCCAACCTCGCCACGCCTGGCCGCGACGCGACCGTTCTCAAGAGTCGACGCGCTTAGCTTGACGCGCAGTGGCTCCGAGCATAAAATCGACTTATGCACGGTTTAGCCAGCAAGTGGCGCCTCGCGACTCGCTACCAAGAGACATCTGAAGCACAGAGAATTGGCATCTTCTACTCCGTACCTCACGAGTACATGTATAGGTCAACACTAAAATTAGAAAACAGATTAGGCTAGCAATACTGTATCCGACCACAGCGTTTAGTTGACCCTCTATCGATTATCTTGTTAATCGCCCCTGACTACCGCAACTCCGCTGCCCGAACTCCGGTGCCGCGGCAAAAGCTCTTCCACTCTTTGAGCCCGACGTCACGGCATCACCGGAATCCCGGATGTAATATCTCGACACTACCGGGTCCAGATGTCATAACTCGGCCAATAAGAATAACCTGAATGTATATAGGAAGCTAGATTCCAGATGATGTATGTAGACTTGATAGCAAAAATTGAATTCTCTATTATCCTAGCAGACGTCGTCTTCCTCCTAAACTTTAACTACAAGACCTGCCACCGAAATCCCTTGTCTAATCACCTTGGAGCCGTGGCTGGATGCTGTCTACAGTACTTTAGAAACGTTTCGACCAGATTCAGCAGCAGAAGCCTTTGCCAATCTTGCGTCTTTCTTCTCGGAAAACTGTATTGCCAATCCAAGAAGTATGCGAGAACACAAGACGCCTGCTCTTGGTCGGGAAGGCCCAGTTGACGACTTGCAAGAACTTTTAAAACACCAATACGTAAAAAAACAACACGTCGTGTCATAAACTGCCAATGAGCAAGAAGGTCGAATTTTTTAGCGACTTGGAAAATCAGTACCTTGTACACGGTTGAATTCTTGATCCATTTCACGAAGTTGTAGTTGTCTCGTTCAACAGTGAGGGGCTTATATATAGCTTTAAACTTTTCTGTTGTCGAAGTCACTTTGTTTAGCACATACAGAAAGTAACTGGAGAGGGCCCGTATAAGAATCTTACAGTGTGATATTAGATAACGTATGCAAGTTCAAGATGTCTTGAGACCCCATTCTCATGCTGACTTGGATGCGATTAGCTGCTCGTCACAGACCTAAACACCAGAAGCCATAGTCGCTTGATATAAGCAGCTATATTTATTACTATAATCTTGATGTATCATTTCTAATAAAGATAACAAGATCAGCAACAAATACCCGCTATGTGTATCTACTTGTCATGTGGTGTACATTAATATTACAGATCCAACAATCTGTCTTTCGCATTAACAAGCCCAGTTCTCCAAATCGTCAATTCCTGTTCTCCCTTACTAAGAGTGAAACCCAGTGCCAGTACTCTTTGTAACGCCTCTGTCCACAACAAGCTCGTGTGAGGTAACATATCGACTGCCACCACCAGCAAGCCAGGCTGCAGCGTTCGCTACATCAGCACCTGTTCCCATCCAGCCCATGGGGCAGTTATGATCCAAGATGCGCTTAGTAGGCTCTTGATCTCCTGGATCTTTGCTCTGAGCAAAGTTGTCGACGAGAGGCGTGTACATCAGACCCGGCACAACGCAGTTACTTCTAATGTTGTTCTTGGCATACATGACACCAAGAGCCTTGGTGAAATGTATCACAGCGGCCTTGGCAGATGCGTAGGCAATCTGGTGTTTACCGATGTAACGTAGGGCTGTGATTGAAGCATTGTTGATAATATTACCAGACCCCTGCTTCTCCATGATAGGGACGACGTAGTGACACAGTCGATAGACGGAAATTAAATTGAGGTCGAGCTGGAAGTTCCATAGTTCCTCAGACATAGTGGCTGGGTTGCCTGCAGAGGTTTGGCCAACATTGTTAGTCAGAATGTTGATACGACCATGCTTCTTCATAACAGAATCCACTAGCGCGTTAACTTGATCGCTCTTAAGCACATCCGCCGCGACGACATCAACAATGCGTTCGGGATCTTCTTCCAACAGCCGCTGTCTTGTCCTTTCAGCTGCTTTGAGGTTCAGATCGCACCCAAAAATCTTCACGCCGTTCTTTGCCAGCAAGCGAGCTGTTGCGGCTCCATTGCCCCAGAAAGGACTGATTAAGGGCCCGACCTGACCAATACCTGTGATGAGGGCAACCTTACCAGCAAGGTCAGGGTAGATAGGCCAGACTTCAGGTACTGGAGGAGGAACGATAGACATTGTGGCTAATATCAAAGAGGATTGACGTGGTTTATAAATAAAAGAAGGGAGAAGACACAATAATACAGGTTGTCATGCGATGTATCTTGGATTGGATGTAAGGATGCAATAAGGAAATAAACGGTAACCAGCAGTTATCACGTCATCTTAAATACAGGAAATGTATAAGAAAAAGAGCGCATCCTTTGCCTAATAAGAATCGCTACCGAGAGTGTCCGCAGAATTCTTCGTCACGAAATTCTCGGGATCCGCCCCTCACTACTGCCCTCTGCCTCAAGCAGTCGATTGCTAGTATGAGGCGATAGAGTCTCGGCTCCACCGGCGAGATGTAGGTACCCATCGGGAAAATCGCCGGTATCACGGCGACGCCAACTACCGCCGTGGAGATTGTGGAGAGGTGTAGGACACTACGAACGGACAAGATTCAAACCCAGACCTGAAAACACAGCTGATTGTTTATATATTTTTGGATTATTAGGGTTAAACTAGATATTGATGCAGCTTGCTCACAGTTCTTCTATTCTCAAACCAAAATATCCTGCAACCATGCAAACCGAAAAATATTGTTTGAATCCACCCACTCTGGAAGAGCTGGGTGAAAAGCTAAGCGGCCCTCTTGCTTCCAATTTCGAATATTCATCAGTCACTGTGGTGCAGTGCCCTGATCTTCGGCAAGCCCCATTCCACCTGGCGACCGAAGGAATATGAGGCAACGAGAAAATAGCCGATGTAGGCGGGCAGCGTTATCTCTTTCCCTACCCTCAACTCGAGAGAATATGGTCGATGGCAGATATAGCCAGATCTATGGAGATGACTGCAGAGAGAGGTGGCCTACTTGGCGCTGGCGCTGGTCCATTTCATAAAGTAGGCGTCAATTGCGAGCTATCACCCAATCTTGGCTGGCAGGGCAGCTTGGACGAGATGGACAACCAATCTTGCTATGCTCGTATCGGGAAACATGGTCAACCCCAGATTGAGAAGAGCCCGTCTCTGGACTGTGCGCTCATGATCAATCTGTATGGCTCTGAAGGCCTCCCTGGTTCTGTTCTCAAGGTACATGTCAAGAAACGGATAGGGCAGGAGAAAAGCTTTACAGAATGGATACAAAAGAGCCTTTTCGCTGCCTATGGGGACTCGCAAATTATCAGCCTAGGCGGAGTTTTCTTGATTAGATCTGGCCGTGCCTACTATCACATCATACCTGATTTCCCGTCCGAAAAGGAGTCACCCTTCCAGGACTTCACACAGCTCAACAACTGGTTGACGTATCACGAGTTTGATGGACCAATGAAATTATTTTCGGTCTTACATTCTGCCGATCCTGGTAAAGCACTTGGTCTGCGCATGGAGCACACTCACGGGTACTGTCCTTCTGGCAAGGATGCTGGGGGCCACTATCACTATGAGATTGACAACCACGATGTTGATATTGAGTATGAGGCCATTGTGTTAAAATAACTTTGTTATGACCGATCTTTTGCCACCTTATACTTAATATTCCCTAACCTTAACCAGCCAGTTTAACATTTCCTTTAACAATACAGCTACTATATATATATTTTCCTCTAAACCTTTGCCAGTCCTTTTAACCTTTCCTCCTAACCATATAGCCGCTATAGACATATTCTCTTTAAAACCTTTAACTTCTTAACTTATATAGCCAGTCTATTTAACCTTTTTTCTATATTTACCCTTCTTTCTTAAGTTACTAAGTAACTTATATTTATAGCCTTAAAGTTATAGCTATAAAGTATAAAGTAATACTAATTAACTAAGCCTAATTTACTCTTAACCTCCTAATATAATATACTTATTTAAAATACTTTTCTTAAGTAAGCTTTCTAAGCTTATCCTTTTCTTACTAAATTAAAGTTTATATATCTTAAGGGACTATAAAGACTTTATAATACTTAATATAATTAAAAGTATTATAGCTAAGTAAGGTAAAAAGGATAATAATCTTATTATTAAGATTATTAAGCTTAGTAATATAATATCTTTAGGGATTTAAATTAAGTATATAATAGCCTTTTTTATAGCCTTAGTTATAGATTAAGTTAAAATAAGCTATAGATATTATAGCTAACGTAGTTGATAAGCAAGTGAGTTATCTAAGTAAGTGGGTTAGCTTAACCTATACCTTAAAAGCTGATTTTTAAAAGCTTGTATAAATTCCACATTAAGCCTAAAATAGCTAGAATTTAAAAGTTATATATTTAACTATATACAGAAACTATATAATTAGTAAAATAATTCTAGCTAATTTACTTATGGCTAGTATATAAAAAGCTTATTTATACTGTATAAATAGGTACTACTATATAAAATAAAATAGCTAAAAATCTAGAAA